TCCATTCTACTCCATTCTATTCTATTCTCTTTGCATCCATTTGCTGACACATGGTTCTCATGGTGTACCACGAAAACAGCTCCTGGCATTTCCTATAAGCTGACAACATATGACAAACGCCACCCCCGTGCCAGTCGGTGCCGGAGCAGCCCCCTCCCTTACCCTCACAGCAGTCCTGCCACAAGCGGAGGTCCACTGCGGGAATCTCTTCGCAGCTGACCATGCCCTGCGGGTACGATGCCACCTGGAAAACATCTCTCTGGAGCTGCCGGATGTGGTCACTGTTGTCACAGATGACACGAGCAAGCGACGTCTGTCTGATCTGAGTCAGCTGCGCCGGCGTGAAGACTCCAGGATTCTCATACCAAAATCTGCAGAGAGTTGTGATCATGGCATGACTCAAGAGTGGGAGAGGAGGATGGGAAGTGAGGCTGGGGGAGGGATAAGAATTCCCCTGCATCTGTGTGGCAGCATCCACACCCCTCAAAAGGAGTTTTTATTCTGGTGTCAGGTGGCTGCGAACATAGACTGCCCTTTTCTGAACCCAGGAACCCCTGTTTGCTGCTGGGGAGCCGCAGGGTGCCCCTGCCTGCAGGTACAGCCCCTGGCAGGGCAATCCCAAGGCTCAGACAGTTCTGCTGCAGCAGGTTGGGACATAGGTGAATGATGCTCCTGCCCTAAGTGCATCACCAGGCAAAGACATGTCTTATTCACACAAGCAGCAAATAGGAACTAGAAGGAAGGTCCTGCAGACATTTTCTAGAGCTTTCAGGAGACATTGGGCACATCCTCACTGGTGCCCAGTTCCTGCAGTGAAGTGAGAATCATTCAAGGAGGAAAGAACATATTGATAGTAACTGTGACAAGTCCTTTTTGCAAATACACTGGACAGAGGAGACCCTTCCTAGTATTGTAAGATAAGAAATAATCAAAAATTACAGGTTCTGCTCCTCCCTGAAGGAAGCAAATCCCCCCAAACAGAACCCAAAGACTTTGGGTTCACTCCGATGACAATACCTGTCTCCATCCCTCAGCCTTCTGAACTGCGTCGTTAACAGGCACATGAGTGTTGGTCCAACTCTGGTACCAGGGACAAGATCCTCCACCATCAGTGCTGGAAACAGGTCAATATTTTTGGTAGTTCCATATAAACTGTGGGATAAAAGATATTTTTTTTTTTAAAAAAAAAGGTTAGAAGACTATCAAAGAGGGGAGATACAACAAATCTGATCCCATCATAAGAATTCATATGCAAGGAACTCATCTGGACAATATTTATAATGGTCTTATCTAAAAGGCAATGGGCTAAAGGCCTGTCTTGGACAGAGGCAGCCAGTGCAGATAGGACGCAGTTTAGTCTCACTGGAAAATAGCTCCAAGGCTCAACCTGCTCCCAAACTCCACCACAGCAGCGCCTGATGACGTTCCACTCAGAACCAGACTGATCACTTGGAGAGATCTCATTTGTCTTACCCCAGTCTTAAACCACAGCCATTTCCCTATCTTAACATCTGTGGGTAGCAATATCTGGGAAGGTTATTTGATGGGTGTCCTGGGAGGAGCAGAAACTTTTCACTGACTGATCTCCAGTGATTTTGATGCTTCCAAGTCCAGGCTACAGTACCTCCTGAGCTTTTCCCTGATCTCCAAGTTCTTTATCTCATTTCTCAGGTCCTCAAACTCCTGTGCAGACGAGAGGTTGCAGAAGACCCTGAAGTCATTGTAGGGTGGGATGCCATGGTCTCGCCCTCTCTGGATGTTGATAGCAGCCAAGTCCAGTGAGACAGAGTGTGCCATGGAGAAGAGTTTCTCCGTCAGCTCCATGTTGAGGAGTTCAGAGGGGACCCGCATCTTCCCAGGAACCCCAAAGAGCCCACGGAGGAGGGGGTCGATCCCACCCTCCTGCATGATCCTGAAAGGGGAGAAGAAGGCCTTGTGCAGAGGGATGTGGCCTTGGCGGATGGGCTGGAAGGTTTCGTTCAGCCGGTAGAGGATGGGGTTGATCAAGGTGTGCCCGAAGCGGAAGGCAGCAGTGGCAAAGGCATTGAGAATCCCCGCATTGATGTTGGGGTTGTAGCCTTTGTACTCACCCAGCATCTTCATCCCAGCTTCCCCGAGGACCTTGGGGAGCCACTGGGCATAGGTGATATGCTGCATCTGGGCACCCACAATCTTCCGTGCCTCGTGATAGAGGAGGTCTCCATCCCAGTGAGGATTGAGGGCCGACAGCTCCGTGGCAATGCGGTTGTGCTCCCTGAACCAAAGCGTGTGCATGGCCGTGAGACCCAGCTGCTCGTTGGCACGGTGGTCTCCTGCCAGGAAGCACGGCACGGGGCTCTCGTTCTCATCTCTCATGCACTCCGTGGGTGGCCCTACAGCAAAGGGAAGGAGATGCTTCCCCGAGCTGGGCACCACTCGCCCTTGCTTCAGCAGCCCGTTTTGGCTGCTCAGATCCCGCAGCTCCCGCGATTCCTGCTCTGTGCTGCCGTAAACATTGGAGGCATCAATGTAAGACGTCAAGTGGTTGATCTGCTCCCTGGCGTAGACCGAGTTCATCAGCAGGGAGGTCATCCCGCTGCCACACACGGGGCTCGAGCGGACGAAGAACATGCAGCGCCCATTCCTCACACGGGGGTCGTTGGCAGGGACCGTGATGGAGAAGCACGGCGGGTCACTGGTGCACACCTGGCTGCAGGGTGCTCCATCGGAGAAGCGGGACATGCTAATGGCTGCCACCGTCTGGTCCATGTCATGGTCCAGAAACTGTCCCCACTGCATGAGCATGTGTGTGAACTGGTCATCAGGGGTGATGGTCTCAGTCCCGACCATGGCGGTGGAGACGAGGCGGGGCAGAGGAAGGGGTAGGTCCCTGGCATCTTCTGCCAAGGAAAACCCCCGGGGGAGGTTAAATCCATTCTGGTAGGCAGGTTTGAGGAGCCTCTGGAAAGCTGTGAGAGATGCACCCCACATCGGGTGCTGGAGGTTGTTGCAAGACCCATCGTGGGTCCTGTACTTCTTGTGGAAGCAGATATCCGAGCAGTTTGGCGTGCGGCGGTGGGCAGAGCAGCCCGACAGGTTGGCGATCATGTTCAGGTAGTGAGGGGACACCAAGTCATTGTACCGATAGCCTGGCAAGGAGAAGACAAAGCACCGGGTCAGACCGTGGTTGCCGTCACCAACCGGTTCCTACCATCCCACGTAAGGGCTCTGTGTGAAACCTATTGCTGGGATCGTCTGGGTGGGCACGGGAGGGCCAGGCTCTGATCGTGGCGTTGCTATGGAATTTATGGAATAAATAAAGCACAGCATCATATCAGGCCCGTGGAGAAGAAAAGAAGGGGAAAAGAGTTTAGTATAAAGCACACAGAGGTGGAAACCAGAAATGGGACCGGCAGACCAAACCATGGGGGTGCTCCTGGTCTCCATCCTGGGTTTATTTTACGTCTCTCTGGGTTATTACTACAACCTCGAGCACCGCCGACCACCCAAACCCTACGTGAGGAGCAGCAGGGAAGCCGTGGGTGACCTGCGCCACGCGAAGGCGCTGAATAATGCTGCGCTGTGCGGATGCTGACGGGGCAACGAGGAGGAGAGGTTGGCTGTCCAACCAGCCCAGACGAGACCTGCAGCCTGCAGGGAGCCTCCTCGCAGCCTGGAATACGTCCAGGCAGGCAAAAATATTTATGGGCCCCAAACGCACACGCCTGCTACATGATGACTCATATGTATAGGTAGAAACACGCAGTGTACAGGGATGCCTGTGGTATATAAAGGAAGTCCCAGCTAGCAAGATTTGGAGTCCAGCTGCTGGACTAGGTATTTTTGGTGTTGCATGGCTTTGTTCCTTGCTATCTTGCCTCGATAAAAGGAAGCTGAGTGGCTGGAACCCATCTGAGCTTGTAGCTAAGAGGTCAAAGTAAGAGCGAGACAGAGGAGGAAGTCAGGAGTGACATCCCCCTTCCTCTGTTACAGCACCCAAACACTCCAGAGTTTTCAGTATTTTTCTCATTGCCACTTGGAGGGCAGGAAACGTGTCTGACCAAGATGCCAAGGGACTGAACCCTCAGGTACTCCTTTGTGAGTTAGATGGCTAAATATTTTTTAAGATTAGGGCTTTCATAGCCAGCCAGGAAGGAAAATGAGGAACTGAACCACTTTCCTGAGTACCTGAGTGCCAGCACAGCCCTCCAGCTGTTACCAAAACCAGATATAGAGAGAATCGCAACCCAGACAACACATTTTTTTTGACATATCCAAAATTGCACTCTTTAAACATTCTAGATATCTACACATAGTTGTTTTAATTTCATCCTATGCACAAAGTAGAGAAGTGAAACGAAATCTCTCCTACCTGTGACATTCATATCGACGATCAGACCTTGTTGCACGTGTTCCTGAATCAGCTGCAAGGTCCTTTCGAAGATCTCCCCTGCCCTGGCTGTTTCGAGGGTGTAGGGGTCCCGGGGGTAACGGAAGAGAGCCAGCAAGTCGTTGGGCGTCTTGGGCCGTCTGTTTCAAGGAGTCAGAAGTGATGCAGGAACATGAAAATAAATCGACTCTGTTCAGAGCAACAAGACTCTACAGGCAGCAAGAGTCAGGCTCTAAGCCTGGTCTGCTGCTCGAGCCCCAGGACTCGTGCATAAGACCAACGTGGCTTGCCTGCATATTGCAGCTGATTAAAAAAAGCTGTTTTTCCCCAGGAAAACAGACATATTTAATTTCCTCAGCATCTCTGTCTTCTACTATAGTAATCTATTTTTCACTTTTCAGCAGCTGAAACCTAGAGGTTTTGGGCTTAATACAAACTGCCTACCTTTTCAATAAAAACACACACTGGGGTGGAAGAGGAGTGAATTACAATTCACTCAGGAAGCCATTTTTCATTGAGAAGGTGGTTGGAATTATTATTTATTATTTCTGTTCACCCAACACAAAGTCAGCTGCGTTTATAAAATGACTACGCTGATTAATTTCTTTTCTATGCACTGTCTCTGGAGTCAACTCCAGCTGACAAAACGTGTGTTGCAGATGTAGGTGATATAAGAGGTGATAACCATGTATCAGCTTTTTCCAAAATCTCAAATGCCTGTTAGGAAATCCTATCACATCCTCACATCTACACGGTGCAGCTCCAACCTCCAATACTCAAAACAATACCGTAGCTTTCATCTGCGGATCGTCAAAGATAAAATGAGATTTGAGAAAGCTTCGTTCATTGTCCTTTTTCTCTCTTTCTTGTTTCAAGTCTCAGATTCTGGAATTTCACAGACTTACTTGCTAAACAGCTCAGTGCGTGTTGAGTTGATGGCGTGGTCCACACTGCTGATGGCTTCTCGTAGGGACGTGGCTACGAACGTGTCGCCGCTCCGACCGACATCCGTGGCTTTCCAAAGCAGCAAGAAAGAACAAAAAATTCTAAATTTATTTTGACATTGATTTGTCTTCTGAGCTCAAGAAAATCTGCATACCAGTACAAGCCCCATAGTAATTCCACTGCAGGTCGAACTCCATTTCCATTTGCAACATAAACACGCAGCAAGTTTTTTTTAAATAAAAGACAGAAATTTCTTTTCAGAAATTAATTTTCTGAAAAAGAAGGTGACTTTCAGGAGACAGCTGTGGAATACATATTCAGAGTTTGCTCCAGTATGGCTTTGCAAATAAATGCCTGCTTTGGTTGGTGGTTAAATTGGAAAAAGAATATGGAAAAATCACAGTGGGTTAACCCAAAATAATGTATTTACCTCCTGCAAAGGAAAGTGCTTCTAAAAAAGCTTCTAAAATTAAAGAAATTCATTTGAGTGTATTGCTCACACATTAATTCTCCATTTGTAAAACACTTCTAATTCACTTCAACTTCAGTGTTAATACATCAGATCCATCATTTTAAAACACAGATGAAAACTGCTGTTTGAATACCTTCAGAAGTAAACGCATGAATCCCTAAAAATTACTACAGAATACATTTTTTTAAGTCAGGGTCTTTGTCCCAGCTGAACAAACCAGCTCCCATTTGCCTCCCAGCGTACGCAATAGCCGACTGGAAAATGAGGTACCAATAAGAACAACTCACAGAAATAACCTCCGGAATGATTTCAAACAACAAAGACATTTCAGATTATTCTCAGCTCCTTGCATACAATCCCTGTATAGAAAACAATATTAAATTCACTTAATAAGCCACTTGCTATTCATGCTGGTTATTCCTGTGTGCTTGAGGAACAGCTCGCCACTTAAATATTTAACCTTAACACTTGCCTTTGATTTTTTTTTTTCCCTTGCCAGCCCTTCCTTACCCTCCAAGAAGCACAATTTCCACTCTTGACCTCCGGCTGCAGTAGCAGAGGAGCACGACTCCTCTTTATTCATTACAGCTCCCCTAATGCACGGGGCACTTCAAGCAGTGGCTTGAAAACGAGCGACTTATTTCCCACCCCCAAGGGACTGAGCCAACATTTAACCCCCCCTATTTGCAGCGACAACATTGTTCTCCTCCTCCCTCCCCCGGCGTGCGAGGTCACGGTCGGACGAGGACTCGGGAGCGTGTTGGCACATTTCAATAAGTTCCTGCTCCTGGCAGAGGCAGGAACGATGTGGATGCCGACAGCTCGGCTTGCAGGAGGTGGTTTAAGGCAACACCTCTGGCTTTGCAGGGAGCAACTGCAGCTCAGCTGGGAAAACAGTGGCTGGGAAGCGCGTGGGCTTAGAGAACGGAGCGACTCCTGCGAGGGGACCTGTCTGCAAAGACGCTAAAGAAATAACGGAGTTATCCGTGCAAAGGGTAGGCATCAAGACAGCATGGCTCCTCCTTACATGAGAGCGAGAGAAGACTCCAGAGGACCACAGGAGACACCTTACCCGTGATGGTGAGCTGCATAGTGCTGGAGGTGAAGCCAAAAGGGTTTCTTGCTATGCACTCGTATCTGCCCTGGTCAGCCACACCGAGGTCTTGAATGGAAAGGGTCCCGTCTTGGCTTACGTGGAACTTGCCACTCTCTGTGATCTGGATACCCTCCTGTTGCACCATCAAAAGACAGAAAACGTGTCAGGGTACAGAAAGTTTCCCATTATCCCAGCCTTCAGCCTGCTCAGCAAACCCACAGGCAGATGCGATGAACTAATGTGGCCACCAGATGTTAGCATTGCTCTTCCAGAGAAACCAGAAAGCCATCCGAGGATATCGGCTCCTGCCTGGACCTGCTGCCAGGAGGTCCTTGCTCGGCTCCTTCACTGCGATCCACCCCCAGGCACCCACTGCAGGACACGGACACCCCATGCCAGACAGGCTGGCTGGAGTGAGTGCTGTGCCCTGATGCTGTCACAGCAGCTTCATGGCACATAAATTAAGTCTAAATGTCTTCAGTTTTGGGACAACTTGAAACTGATGGATTTTTGCTGGCCTTGAACTGCAGATACCAGCTTTTGCTGCCTCCAAACAGCATCGCTGACCGACACGCCATGAGCACCAGCACGCTCTCACCCCACCCAGAAACCTGGCTGGTGCCAGAAGTGGCTTCAGGTTCCACTTTTTCATTCTCCTGCTTCTTAACATCTTTCTGCTGCCCTGCCCCAATCTAACGCTTACTCTGCTGCCCTCCCAGGCTCTTTTCTTCTGCTCCCACTGTTGGCTGGAGCCCAAGGCAAGCTGCAAGGTCACCTCCCACGAGACCTCTGCAGAGGAACTGAGGCTCAAGCATTTTCCCCTCTAATTTGTTCTGTTCCTGGCTGTGCTCATAGCCAGGGCAGGTCCCAGTGAAGTTTGCAGGTGCTGTGCTACGGCACAGCAGGAAAAAGCCTGAAGAGCTTTATCTAATAAATTCTTTAAAAGAGCAGCCAGGCTGCAGTGTGATTTTGGGGGATCGTGGCTTTGCCCCGTCAAAGCTGGAGCCAACCAGCATCATTCATTTCCACCAGTGGGAATCCTGCAAATAAGGAAAAACTACTTAGAAAAAAAAAAAATCTATTTTCAGATTTTTTTTCCAGGAATAGTCAATCAAGCGTTTCTAACACCCTGGGAGGTCACTGGCTTCAAGTTACTCATTTGGAAGGAAGAACAAGAGCAAAGCTTCCAGCCTGAGACAGAGCAACATTCTTATAGACCATTAAAAACTCCACATCGGTGGAAATGTTAGTCCTTAATTTTTCATCAAACGCAATTTTCCATGTGTAACGCACAAACTGATTTAACGAGTTGAACCAAGGGAGCTGTTTCCTGCCCCCACAGAGCAGCCATCCCACTTCCCAGTGATTATCCAGTACATGGTATCATCTCTTACTTTGACCCAGGTGATGGTGGGCCGGGGATCTCCTTGGGCAGCGCAGGTGATGGCAACGTCCTGGCCTGTCTCTGCCACCACGTCTTGGGGGGGATGAAGGAACACGGGTATCACTGTGCGACACGGGGGGAAAAAAGTCACAAGTGTGAGAAAAGCATCGAGGAAAATCGAGAAATCCATGTGCAAAACATCTCAACGTGGGGAAACCGGAGCTGCTGGGCTCTTCTGCTGTCGCAAGGGCTCTTCAAGGGGTGTCAGTTTATCCGTGTTCTGTCTCTCTACCAACTCCTCTGTAATTTATGGTCGTTATTTTTTGCTCCTGTGTGTCTTTATTTGGGGCAATTACACAGGGATGTGTTGGGTTCTCTGTCATTTAAAATCCTTAATTCAAAGGCTTTCCAGAAAAGATGCTTTAGCTGAAACAAGGATGGTGAATGGATTGAGGAATTATCGGGTGAGGCTCTCTGGCAAGTGTTGGTCAGGTCAGATTAAATAATCACATTGATCTTGTTGGTCTTAAAACATTCTGTGAATTCTGTGGTTGAAGCATCTTTCTAGACAGTTTCCTTCTCTCCAGTCTACCAGGAGTAAAATTCTGCCGTGTTTGTGAACAAGCAGAGATGTTTGCTTCTTTAGAATGATTGTTTATATGGGAATAAAAAAGAAAATAAAACCATGAAAGCATTCCTGTGCACTTGTGTTTTATAGAGGCTTGGTTTTAGAATATCTAAATTTAGGCTGAACCTATGCTAGCTAATGTTTAAGACAAACATATGCGGAGCCAGAGTTAATTCTTCCTGAGAAGGAATAAGGTTTTTTTCAGAATATTTCATTTAAAAAATAATCTTATAATTCATTTTGTAGGAAAGCCAAATAGCAAAAAAAAAAAAAATTGCTAAGAATTTAATTAATACAATTTTTTTTGAATTCTCAGACAAAAATCCTTTGCTTCACCAAAATAATTTTCTTAATAACAACTCCCAAACACATCAAAGAGCCTCATTTTTCACTCAAACCGGCCAGATATCAGAGCTCATCTGACGGGTATTTCTGACCACATAACCCTGCCCTGGTGCTCATTTGGGCAGATGCCAACCGATACCATCCCATTCCCCGGCCGCACCACATGAGTTCCATTCCCACGGTTATACTTTTTCTAGACTACCAGATACATTTTCCAGGAAAACTGAAGCAGCTTCTACCAATTCACAAATCTTGGCACTCTGGAAACCTCTTTAAAGTTTCCCACCAACTGATGGAGCTCTCATGGCTAGAGGTCAGCTCCCAGGGAAAAGCAAAATGCCATCCCATAGGAACCAGGGCAATTCCCTGCCTTGTCAGCCCGTGTGTTACATACCATGATATTATCTTAACAAATCCATTGGCCAGCCTTTATCCATACCTCGTGGGGTCACCGACAGCTGCACTGGGAGGGTCCTCACTCCGATGGCACTGATGGCATGGCACTCGTACTGGCCTTGGTCATGCAAAGCAGCCCGCATCACGCGCAGGGTCCCCGTGGAGAGCACGCTGTGCCTCCGGTCGTTCGGCAGCGGCCCACCTGGTCAGACAAGCAGTGGGATTCGTTAATTGTCCGTGAGATTTCTCTTCCCATCACCGAAGGTACCTGTGCGACAGTTAGAAATCCCATTTCCTTCCCAACAGGGCATCAGCCACCCCGAAATACCATCTTCGCTTTGCGAAGTGAGGGACAGGAGAGATGCTGCTCTTGCCACCCCCAGGATCACGACTGAGTTGTCTAATCTAAGAAACTGGAAAGGAGCACGTACCCTTTTTCTTTCCTCATAAGCCTTTTCCTGTGCAAACCGCACAATTACTGACACCTGAGAGACAGCAAATCTGTGATCAATTATCCAAACTGGCTGTTTAATCCAACAAATGGAAACATTTAGCATTGTCTTTTTTAATTTGGAATTTTGATTTTCTTTGGTTTGGAAACTGCGTTGTTTCAATATTTCCTCTATTTAAGGAGAGAAGTTCAAAATTAAAATGCTTTACCAAACCCAAACAAAATGATTAGAACTTCTCAGTTTAGCAACTTTTTTTTTTTATTATTCCATTTTCCTCCAAATAAGGGCTCTATTTATTCGTCCCAAATACCAAAAGGAATCTGAATCCTCCTCACACTGTCAAAAGTGGCTTTGAGAATGAGTGATGCTCCATCACTCCTCTTCATCTTGCTCTTGGCATGCCTTCTGTGAAAGCCCTGTAAAGCCTGCTTAATCTCTGGATCGCTGCGTGACCCAGCAAACCCAGTGACAAAGCAGTTATTAACCTCACTTCTTGTCACTGTGCTCCTTTCCACATCTCTAAGGGCTACCTTCTGAAATCTGGGCAGTGGAGGAAAACAGGTAAAAGGAGATGGAGAACATGCTGGTGGAGGGAATTTCACCTGGTCCTTCTTAACTCCGCATCACAACTATTGCTGTGGAAGCTGGAATACAATAGCCATGAGCTCTCCACAGCACTAAACCATTAATTATGGCTTGTGAAGCATAAGGAAAAGTTGGAGGGCCTCTGGGCCAAGCGTTACTGGCTTCTGTCCCAGAAAGTGTTGGATGCGGGATCAGTTCAGTGGAGTCAGCGCTAACAATCATCCAAGACTTTAAAAGTTCACCACCACCTGTGGGCCCAAAGCACTTTTTTCCTAAGCTAAAAGAAATCTCAGAGGTGTGTCAGTGGTGAACAGTGGCCTTCTGCAACGTGCTCCCCAAGAGGAGCAAATCAATGACAACGAAGGAGAGCTGGGACACAGTGATAGCCACTGACTTGGAGCTTCCAGACTTCACCTTCTCAAAGGAGGTAGGAAGCCACTGCAGGAGGAAGTTTGAGGCTTTCCGTGGCTTTCATGCTGATGAAAACCAGCACGCTCCTTCCTTCTGACACCATGACTTAGTGTGTTAAGGACCTAAGAGACTCCCTTCTCAGTGCTTAACATCATCCTTGGTGATGAACGACATACCTCCTAGCGTGGCTAGGTCTGTGCTCATCACCATCTGCCCTCTGATCACCATCTGTCCTCTGTCACCACTGCAAGTCATCACCCTGGACCAGCAGCTCGGTGGTTCTCACCCACACCCCACGGATGGTGCCATGGGAGAGAAAGAAGTCGCGAGTCAAGCGAGGCAGTACCTGCCCTCGTCCAGGCAATCACGGGTGGAGGGTGACCCTCAGCAGAGCAGGGGAAGTCCACGCTTTGTCCCTCAGTTACTGTCTGATCAGTGGGGATGAGGAGAAACCTGGGAGAATCTGGAAGGGAAAGCAATGACTGAGCAGCAGGAAGAACTCGGGCAGCAAGACTGGGTTAATTCTCAGGTCGGGGAGCAGAACCAGCCACTGCGCTTAAATACAGCCCTCCGGATCGAGCACGTTACCCCTGAAATGTCAGCAGCCTGGGACTCCTCACCTTGCACTATGATCCTTGCTGTTGCCTGGATGGACCCCTCAGTGTTGCTGGCGTTGCAGTTGTACTGCCCCTGGTCCGAGAAGGTGACGTTCTGAATGAAGAGTCCTCCGGAGCTGGTGATAGCGAAACGGGAGTCCTGCGGCAAAGGAGAGCCTGTGCCAAGTGTCCAGCTGATGCGAGGGTGGGGGTGCCCGGAGACCCCACACTCCAGGGTGACGCTTTCCCCAATCAGCACTTCAGTGTTCTGCGGCTGGATCACAAAAGTGGGCTTGGCTGGAAGGAAACGAGTGCTTCAGAAACCAGAAGCTCTGCTGCTGGCTCAGTTACGGGCAGAAATTGCTTGGACTCCTCGTGCAACCCAGCTAGAAGTCACCTGGCTCTTCCCAGACCTCCAAATTCTTGATGTGAGCAGGTCCCACAGCACAACTTCTTCCTACCACCTCCTCCCTCCCAGTCACTTAGCGCTGGAGCATCCTCATTCCTGTGTCCCCTTCCCCCTTGACACCACTGTGCTGCAGAATTCATCCCAGCCTCCAAACTCCCTCCCTAGCCCCAAACTACCTCCAACCTCTAAACCCCCAATGTCTGACTCCCATGAGTTTGCTCCCAGCCTCCCCCCCATTCCCGAGCTGAGCCTTCAAGGGGTGCACAAGACTCAATTACATGGGGTGCCAAAATAGCGCAGAACGACTTCTTGTGTCTTGACCTCCCCAGCTATGTTCTTGGCCATGCACTGGTAGACGCCTTTGTCCGACTCCCTGGTATTCTGGATCATCAAGGTACCGTCTTGCAAGAGGTTCAGGCGGTTGTCATCTTTCATGTCAATCTCGTTACTGAAAAACAGTCACAAACAGGCAAAATTTGAAAGGAGCAAAGACTGGTGGTCTTCCCCCGAGCTGCTGGGGGAGCGGTGGGGCTTTGCATGCGCTGCAGTATGTTGGCGTTCCTTGGAGCTGTTCTGAGGCTTCATGAAATTTATAGCCAGGGTTATGATTTACAGCACTGAACTTCAGCTCCAGCTCTGATTTACTCCCTGGGTGAGCTACTTTTTCCTCTCACCACTGATCACACACGACATTTACAGCCCGTCAGGAGAGCACACTGTTCCCCTGCAATAGCATCATCGCTATTGTCAGGGCATCTAGGCCCGGGAAGCTTGTTCTCGTTATTTACCAAGTGCAAATATATTAATGAATTAATATTGTTATTGTGTGCAGCCGTTTCTATTTGAACGGGCTCACAGACCTCAGGGGGGCGAAAAGCTCTGAGTAAGTCATGGTGGGACTCCAACCCAACCCGAGAGCTGTGAAACATCTTCCTTCTTTCTACAATGACCTGCGACTCCTGGATCCCAGCCCGTGGCAGAAGGTCCCACTGCTGCATCCCATTTGTCCCAGCATAAAGGAATCCTGGATGGCTGTAGAGGAGTGAAAAGGGAGAGGGGACCTCTCTCCCCTGAGGACAAAGGCTGAATCCACTACGCAAACTAATACGCTTGCCGGGCATTGATTTAATTCCCCTGATGTCTCCTCACTCCAGTCATATCTCGTTTGTGGAGCATTTGTTATCATTACCCCTCTTCCAGTGCTATCTTTGGGAGCCTGCCAGCATTTCCCTAACAAAACCTTCCTTCCAGGGGGACTTAACTCAGCCATAAACTTTCGCTCTGCGCTGAAACTCTGCCTGGTGGGGAGTTAGCTGGAGAAGCACACATTGATCATTTTTATTAATAACCAAGCCCTGCTCAGGCTCCCACAGCCTCGTAAAGCAGCAAAGTAACTGCACTTCCACAGCGGGCAACTGCTCCAGCACAGAATATTTTATTGTGTAGCGTTTCCCAGAAACACTTTGGCATCTACCATAGCCATATATTTTTGCAGTGTTGCTCTATAGAATGACCATGTATACACTGTTCTGCAAGGTCTGTTTTTCGGTGCAGAGCAGTGATTCTTCCCTCTGAAAACGAGCTGTTCTCCCAGCACGCTGGGTCTTCGGTGAGAACTTCAGAGACTAGAAGCATTTCAGCAGTTAATAAACGGCAAGCATGGTGGCTTAGAGCAACATGAAATACCAATTTTATTGTATTTTCTGATCAAAAGACAATTGCTTTCAGCCTGCAGAGTATGTTTATGGGAAAGTTATAAGCTCTTGGAATCCATTACAAATGCAGATGAAACATTTCAAATGCAGATGAGAACGCCACTTGGATTACGTGGTCACCAGAGAATGCTATTAAAAGGAAGGTAAATACAACCCATGGAATACCCACAGATATTTTATTTTTTTTTATGTTGCGTGAAACAGCTTTTGTAATTACAGGCAGTCACTGAAGAGCTCAGTGCTTGAAAACCTTTGCTACCCCAGGGCCCACTGTGCACGACTTACTTGTTGTGCAGCCAAATAATCGCAGGCTTTGGGTTGCCTTCTGCCCTGCAGGTGAAATAAACTGTGTTTCCCAAGAGGACGTCGACGTCGTGGGGTTCTGAGGTTATTCGAGGCCTCTCTGCAAAACACCGTTTCAACACAACCCGGTCAAAAGCAGCACAAAACCCCCAACAGCCCAACTGGTGTGTGGTGGGTAACGCAACACCCACCCTGCAACCCCCGAGCAAACGGGCACCAGCAGAGCCCGAGGCACAAGGGCACCCCGAGACTTCTCACCAAAAATGATGTCAGGGAGGGAACAGCATCATTCATCCGAGCCCAACAAAAGCCCTGGAGAATCGAAGCGGCTGTTCCTATCGTCAGTGTGATGGGCAGCGGATCAGCTCCCACACAGCCCCAGGCAGCGCTGGGAGAAACCAGACCTGGCTGTACACTGCTTCACTATAGCTGCCCCAGCAGCTGGTCCCTGGCTCCCCCAAAAATAAGCCCAGGGCATCCCCAGCTGGGTTGTTTTTCTGCCCCTGGCAGCCTGCCCGCTCCATCTGAACACAGTGCCAGCTCTCTGCAAACCACACTGCTTCCCTTTCCACAGGATTTCATTCATTACATCCCTAATTCCTCAGCTGATGCCCGTTCAGCCAAGCCTGTCGCTATGTGCTTCAACTTCAGATGTGCCCAAGCACTACGCAAGTTAAACATCTGAAAAATGTGCTAAAATAGGATGGAATCTATGTACGTGGTCTGGAGTGCTTGATCTTGATTCAGCAGCACATGTACCCACCTAACAAGCCGTACGCTCACCACTAATCCAGCAAAACCAGCTGGATTGTTCATAAAATTAAGTGAGAACCTGCCACCTTCTCCAGTGGAAGGTCCCTTACTCCTCAGACCGCAAGTTAATCGCTTGGCATCTTGTCCCCAGCGGCGATGCCAGTGTGGCACGGAACCCACCGCGGCCCCACGGAACAAAACACGGATTCGGTGCAGATGTGCTCCGCTGGCTCACATCTGCTCTGAAGCGATGGGTTAGCTGGATGCCAGCGGGCTTTGGACTGACTCGGGTATCAGCTGCCCGCATCGTTAGAGCTTTATGCTGAATTATGCATCGTTTGTCTTCCCCGGCTGGCACAATACCAGCATAAAAGCCTAATGCCAGCAAAAATCTTCCCACCAGGTGCTCTGGTTAATTTGACAGACACCCCACTGTGCACCCGTGCCTAAACCAGCACAAATTTACATTAACGGCTGCACCGTGGCACCGGGGGTGTATCAGGGACAGCTCATCCTCGTGCAGCCGATCCCGCTCCGTGTGTCCCCACCTGCTTTCTCTAGACCCCTCCTGTTCCTCCCCATCCCTCGAGGTTACAGACCCATTTGTCCCAACTCAACTCTTTGCATGGCTGTGCCCTAAATTAAGCTGTGAAATGGTCAAGATGTTAAAAAAAATAATAAAATCATCGGAGAAAAGCAGAACGCAAGGGAGAGTTCTTCAAAATCCAGTTGATCTCACACATCTGGCTCACAGCACAGCTGGACTGGCAGAGCCAGGAGGGATGCTAATAGCTGGCCCTGGGTGAGTGGGAACATCTCAGACTGACTCTACCAGCAAAGAAGTATCAGGGGACCACAGCCCACGCCTGTGCCATCCTCTGCCAATGCCTGCACTTAAAAGTCAGAGTTTTGTCTTTTTCTACGTGAAATATTTAATTTTGGAATTTTTCAGAGCAAACCCTTCCATTTCAAAATGGCATTTGTCAGTGAGAAATCTAAAATTATCTAAATTTGACAAATAGCAGCTTAACAAACACCCTACGTTGCCGCAGTCAAACAAAGCATTCAGCTACGTATCTGCTCTGCGTTTACTTAGGGCTTTCAGTTGCGTTTCCAGTCATTGCAGCTCTCCCAGTGTTCCCCTTCTGTCCACCCTAATGCGGGACATTCCTTCTGGTTGCTGGTTTAAACACTGACCGCAGCAGGTCCCTTACTGGCCCTACTCTAGCTAGACACCAAGAAGACACCTCCCAGCCAAAACAGATGTGCTTCCAACTCCCACGCCACCGTCAGCTTTCTCTGCAATATAGAATTACAGAATCACAGAATGGTTTGTGTTGGAAGCGACCTCAAAGATCATCTAGTTCCAACCCCCCTGCCATGGGCAGGGACACCCTCCACTACACCAGGTTGCTCAAAGCCACATCCATCAGTTGTTATCCTGACAACTCACGTGACTCCACATTTCAGTGGTAAAAGGAAGGAGAAAACAGGATGCCAGGACTGGAAAGAGGGAGGAAAAGAGGTGGAGGAAGCAATTCCTAGACCAAAGTCCAACTCCACGGGCAGAGGGTGGCCAGCGGAGGGGTGTGACCTGGCTCACCGCAGTTGAACTCCTGGGCGGTCAAGGTGACGATGGAGCGGCCGTGCAGGTCCCGAGGAGCCTCGCAGGTGGCGGCCGTCTGGATGCTGCCCTGCTCCGTGTAGTTCCTCAGCAGCTCCGCCAGCCACATCAGGTCGCAGTCGCAAAGCAAGGCGTTGGAGTCCAGCCGCCTGCCAGACCCAGGAAAAGGCAGGTCATGTCCCAGCCCCTGACTGCTGCCTCCTGCTCCGGGACACAGCAGGGCAAGAGTCCTCCGGAGCGAAGGATCACTTGGCTGGTTTTCCCTGCGTCCGATTATATCCCAAACGAAAATTTGAGATGTTTCATTCCCACAATGTTTAACTAGGATGCTGGATCGATCAGAAGGATTTCATTGAAAAACTAACATTACCCACCAGCCCTTCCAGTTTCAAATGAAAATTTGTCTGTTGAACTGGATTATGCATTTTTGGCTTGATTTGAGGCAAAGAGACACGGAAATATTGGGTTTTCCTCCAGGATGGCAATTTCAACCTCTACTGAATCCTCTAAGAACAGCAGATAACACTGCCTCTGGTAGAGCTTTCCATTCTCTTTTACTCCTAGCTCCAAAAAATTCCCCCTTGGTCTTTGTGAGCATCGGATCGATCTCTTTCTGTGACCAGCTGCTAGAGGTTGCTCAACAACTCCAAGAACTTCTATGACCGAATCATCCCGCACGGAGCACCGGTGACCTCCCAGCGCACCCACGCTTTTCCCTCCGCTGACTTCATTCCTATGCACGGTGCAATGCATCGGGATAAACAAAGATTATAGAGGGATCAGCTTATGCCTCCTCCCCCAACGGTTTTACAGTAGATGGGTTGGGGCCATAGAAAAAATATATGGAAGGAAGGTCTAACGTTTCCAGGGACAAACTCTTGAGAATGTGAGATTTTGCACAAGGGCACGATACAGCGTTTTATGGACACCCCACCTTTTCCTCTGACACACACGGACAACATTTCACAAGTTATTCCCTGTTGAAGAAAGGTGAAGCATTTTACCTGCTTGCAGAAATCACAGGGGGCTGCAGTGAGAAACACGTTATTTTCTTGTAGTTTAAAATCGTGGCAGAAAACCAAAATTCTTTAGTTTTCGCCTTTTTTCTTTTTTTCCCCCCCAAAACACATAATAGAACTGATTTCCAGAGATCATAAAAGACAAACAAAGCACAGCTCTGGGGGTTTAAGCAAGCAAAAAGTAAGCTTAAGAGACAGTCAGGTTATATAGGAATAACACACCAGGACATTCCTACACGGGATGAGAATCCTGCACCTCCGAGTATTCTCAATCTCTAGGAAAAAACCCTTTTCTTGAATGTTCATTCCTGTGGCATTATTGAGCATAAGAAGATCAGAGTTAGATTATAATTAGACAGTGGCCTGAAGAAACTACTCACTGGTTAAATCAGCTCCCAAGTCCAACGAAAACTGTTTCATAAACTTAGCGGTGGCCTTAGGAGTGCAACAGCTAAAAGCTTTGCCAACCAGGCACATTTTTCCTCAGGTCCTGGCCATCTGATCAAAGATAAACAACTGCTCTTTGCAGGCAATGTTTTTCACTTACAGCCGTTTGAGGGATTCCAGTTGAGAGAACGTCCCTGGATGAATCCTGGAAATCTTGTTGTTGTGCAAGAATCTGCAAAGGGAGAACCCATGCCAAAACATTATTCATTATTCAGCACTACACGGCTGATAACATCCCAGGTCAAAACCCAGTTTCAATTCAAAGGCTGCTCATCAAAATGGGGCTTTTTCAAATGTTTCAAATTCACTGTGTTTGTTCCCATAAGCTATGGGGATTCCATTCATTTGCGAGCGCGCTGCATCCCACCGAAGCGGAGGGAGGGTGTGGACTGGAAACGGTGACTCAAGATGTGATGTAACAGGTTTAAACTGGAACCTTAAAGTTAATCTGCTTCATGCTCTGCAAAGGGAGGAGAACGGGTGCGAAATCCCCACAGCCTGGACCCACCCTACGTTTTCTGTGCCTGGGTCAGTCCCAGTTTAGAATGGACCTTTTCTTTTCCCCCCTGCAGAAGACACAGAAATTTTTACAAGGGCAGCCACTGAAGAAAGGCTCCAGACAACTCGTGCCCTGGGCTCAATGTAGTTATTAACCCAAATCCTTGATTAAACCTAATTCAGACAATAACAGCCTAAGCTGGGCTTATCTCAAATTCTCACTTCCAGAGTCTCAGCACCCAGATAAAACTCTCCAGTTCTTAGAAAAAAAACTGATTGCGCTAAGGGACAACAATGGGATAATTAACTCTCTGCTCCCTTAATGGAGGGGGGAATTTAGTTACGTTGGTTACATCTTAAAAGACCATTGACAAAAGACAGGAAGCGATTTTAGTGGAAGAGGAAAGAAATACAAAAGCAGTTCAGCTTGAGTGCAAACGTCTGCGTGCACACGTGTACACGCGAGGTCAGCCTAGCTGCCCAGCTCAGATGCTGACAAACCTTCCTCTAAAATTTAAATCCAGAATTTTTGTTGGATCAAATACAGCGACTGAGATCAGCCATGGTGGACTGATCCAGGTCTGAATTTTCCTAAGGGTGTTTGGATCCCATGATTTTATTTTCCTAGCCTGTATGGATAGAAGGCACATTTCCATGCAACATAGAGGGGTCTGTTGGTTTCACCATGGAGCGGGAACCACCATGTGAACTTTTGTCCCAGTGGCTACATTACTACTAGAAGCAATCCCGGGGAACAGAAGACACAGAACTTCGTTTCCTAACTGCTTTCAAGGAGGTGTGTTTTTCTTGTTAGAGACTTTATTCTGACTTTATTCCTTTTCCATCCCCTTTTTTTGTACACGCTGCCCAGGGCTACATTACTACTAGAAGCAATCCCGGGGAGCAGAAGACACAGGACTTCGTTTCCTAACTGCTTTCAAGAAGGAGGTGTGTTTTTCTTGTTAGAGACTTTCTTCTGACTTTATTCCTTTTCCATCCCTTTTTTTTGTACACGCTGCCCAACAGTGACTAATGTTGACCTTATGGTCAGAGTAAAATTTCAATTGGCTTGGCCAACTGTAGCAATTTCTGCAGATTTACCCCTTCTTGGGTGGAAACATGAACGTTAACACAACATGGGAAATTCCCTTCATATTCTCAGTAACCCTCCTACTTGGCAAGAACAGAAAATCTCCTTCAAGGAAGCTTCTTTTTGCATTTCCTTCTATCCCGAAGGCCAGACTTCATGCTACCAAAACGGTGACACAAAATGAAAGGTTTTTTCCCCCCTTCTCCTCACCCCCTTACTCACAAGAAAGGTCCCATCTTTACTTACAGCCTTTCAAGTTTTGGCAGGTCACTAAAAGTCTCCGGCTCCAGGCTTTCCAGGTTGTTGAAATGCAGGTAGCTGTCACACAGCAAATCACAAAGGGCAGGGTTACAGATTGCAATTGAAAAGACAGGAGACCTTTCCAGATCAACCCACCAGTGCCCACCGATCGGTCACTACACATCTCAGACATGCAGAAGCCAATGTTCTCTTTAGCCTCTCCACTTTCCACTTGCCAAATCAGTAGCCAACACTGGCTTTTCCCTATTCTGTCAATTATTTACTCTCTCTCTCAATAAGAGGAGGACAGATTTACTCTTCCCTGAAGCCTAAGACCACCACCATCACTGTGAATTGCCTGTCGCACTGTTAAGGGTCAGGATGAAACCGCTGCCCACGGAGAGCCAGCAGCAGCTCCTCCCATCTGACCACCATACAGGAATTTTCCCTGCCTTTCCCCTGGTGCCTCGGCATTCCCCAACGCATCCTTGGATCGTCAGGAAGGAAGAAATAGCCTTACTCTGAAGTACTTGTTCCCAGCCTGGGAATTGCAACATTTCTGAAGGGGATCATGAGTCTGCTGAGAGTTAATTTGTAGATAAAAGGCCCTGAACAACCTGGTAAAACTTTGAAATTGGCCCTGCTTCTTGCTGAAGGTGGGACTGGAGACATCCAAAGGTCTCTTCCAGCCTGCGTTTGTCTCTGATTCTAAAAGGGGCTCCCAGCACATGCATCCACCCAGCGAGAGCTGAAACATCTGGAAACAGCTGCCGTCAGGCTATTCTGTTTCTGCGGAGGAAGGCACAGTCTCCAAAAACAGAGACGGCGCAGTCAGCTGCAGCACTTGGATCCAAATGGCACATTGATGTGAACAGCCCAGTTCTTGCTCATGCAGATTAATGTTTTCAGTTCCACTCAAGTGGCAGGTGTGCCCTGCTATTCCAGAGGTCTGGGAGACCTTCTGCACTGCCCCAGCTCGCCCCTTGCCCTCAGCAAAGGAAACGTGGGGTCTGCAGAGCAACACCCCCACCATACCTGAGCTCTCCATTCCCATTAGCTGTGACATTCACTGGCATAACTGACACATTCCTGACCTTTAGATGCGTTTTAGGTTTCGAAGTCGCCTAAACTCTTCCCTCTTATTTCACCCAGGCATAAATTTCACAGCGGACACCGATTAATCACGGATCTCCAAATACTCATTCTGCTGTTGTAGCTGACTGCGTTGAGAAATAATTGCCTAAGCCGCCACACGGCTGTTTGATTTGTAATGGAAGGATTGGTGATAAAGGGTTCACTATCAGAGCACAACCCGAGAGACGGTGACTCAGATTCTGCAGTGGAGGGCAACAGTGGGGAGAGACGGTTTTAATAAGTCTCAGATGCCTGCTGACCTTGAGGAAAGCATCTGATACCGTCCATCAACCACGTTATACTTTTTCTTGAAAAGCTGGTTTGTGGGGTACAGGAAAACGGGGTAGGATTTGAGCAAAGCTAATTCTTTTGGAACCATGCCTGCCTGAGATTGAAAACAGATGGGACCTTCAGCGGGTTTGTTTTTGGTTTCTTTTTTTTTTTTTATTCGTGACATCAAGTCTGGAACGCTTATTGTTAAAATATCACTGTGGCCAGCATCATCTCCTCTCTCAGCATAGCTGAGCCAGTATCTGCTTCCTATGTTTTCTTCCAGGCATCCTTGCTGAGCTAGCTGATGAAAACCCACCTTGTCCACAAGGTTGGTAGCACACCTATTATTAAGGTTGCCTGAAACTTCCCATATACTCTGTCCTTTTCTGCTGTCAGCCTGGAGAACAAGCTGGATCCTATCCCTTTTACAGCAAAATCCTTAGTTACATCCCAGCCTTATAAACGCTGTCATTTGGCACAATCCATGAATTAGAACGGTTTCATCTTTGGTCCTAGTTCTCCAATGATGGAAATAATTCCTGTACTTCAAACATCCACGCTCAAACTCTCTCCATATGTACACATGTATTTACACACAGGCATATAATATATCGTGACTCCAGCATGAAAAATCCAATCCCAGTCTAACTTTAGAAGAGTCAGACCTCTGTCTTCCCATCTCGCCTTGAGCATGGAGCGCTAAGAGTCAAAACCCAAAACTTCCTTGAATAAACAGCACAGATTTGCAATACATAGAAGGGGAGCAAATGAGGACTGACTGTCACTGTGATGGCCTCCAGCTGCCAGGAAAACACGCCAGGCTCTTTTCATCCCAGAGTGCCACGCAGCTTAGAGGGAAAGTCATTCCTTTTTTTGTTTGGATCCATCATCTTTCCCCTCGTTTCAATCTCCAGATGCTCTACAGCATGCAAGCACCACCATCCTGGTAGCTCCCACAAATACCTCGCTGCCCCAGCTCTCAGCTTGCACTTCATCCATTCACTTTCAGCAAAGGTATGGGTGAGAAAGAAACTCAACCAGCTCCCTCAATTCCAGAAAAGGGCCAGATCCTACTCTCTGCTCCAGAAGTCCCAGCAGACATACACACAGCAGGCCAGCTGTCTTCTGCTGTCTACAGACTCTTATCTCCTCCCACCATAAGGTCCTTGGATGTAAAGGGAATCAGAAGCACAGCTGGGCTCTTCCTATGCTCCAGAGTTTCAGGGTCAGGAGAAAACACATGGGATGTCAGTAGGAAGAGACCTCAGCATCAACTAACCAAAATCAGTGCTGGGACCAGCTGTTTCCAAACGGAGCCAGTGCAGTCTTGCAAAGCTGGATGATAAAACAGTAGAAGCCTCATCCTACTCCTTGCTAAGTGTCTGGTGCTCTGCACTACTGGAAACACCACGTTGGGGTTAGAGGAGCCAATAAATCAGCTCTTACGCACATCACATTCCGCAGCAAACCAGGCTCCTGCGTACTTACAGCTGTTCCAGAGAGCGGAGCCCGTTGAAGGCATGTTGCTGGATGCTCTGAATTTCATTTTTGTAAAGGTAGCTTTCAAAAGGAGAGAAAGAAAAAAGCATCAGGATAACTGATCAGCAGCTGTGTTTTCAAAAGACACAGGAAACGTCTATGAACCTCAAGCCAAAGCAGAGCTTGCTGATTGGATTCAAGGGCAATGTTTTATAGCTGTGCCACCAACACCCAGAAATTGTGACCACAGAAAATACGTCCTTGACTGGCAAACATTAGAAGTGGGTTGTTAAATTTCAAAGAGGTAAAGAAACTACTGAGCTACCAACTCACAGGTATTTCAGGTTCTCCAGATCTTCAAAGGATCTTCTCACAATTTGTTTTATCTGATTATTGTTCAGCAGCCTGTTCAAATCAAGAACAAAAAACACAATCAGTCAACTCAGCAGGTGTAAGGCTGGTGGCATTTGTGTTCCTGGATGCCCACTGAAAAATCCTGAACCTGTGTTTTCCAGAGTTTAAGACTTGAAGAGGTCAGCAGATCAAAGTCTGGACGCTCACACCAGTTGAGTCAATGAGAAGAAGTACCAAGTGGTTCCAACATGTACAATATTCAAAGACTTTTCTTTACCTTTCAGTTTTCACCCAAAAGTTACAATCTTGGCCAGGAAAGGGATGAGGGGAAGGGAAACAGGCAGAAAGGAGTGGAGGGGAGGGACAAATTAAATCATTGCTGCCACTCTTGTACAAGCACAATGGTTTCTGAAGGTGCATGGTTGTGTCCAACAGTGTGTGAGCAGGGGCATGCACAGACAGTTTTTAAGAGTACACGCTTTAAAACACCAGTTCACAGTGGAGTTACAGACGTTATAAAATGGTAATGTGTTGTTCTAATCACTTTGTACACTAATATGTGCAAACAAAAAAAAAAAATCACAACAGATCTGACTCCTGAGGCTACTCAGAGACAGCCTCTTTCGCTCTAGAGAGCCCCGTGCCAGATTTTAATACAAAACCTATGGACAACATCTCACTGGCAGGCAACGTCTGGCTTGTATGTGCAGTTGCCATGACTGTGCGTGCAAATGATGGCCAATGCCAACGACCAGAAACAGCTCAACCTTGTAACAACCACGCAGCTGAACGCTCCAGAAACCTCTTCTGCAACCACTGCCAAGCCCAACACCAAGAAAATGAAATAAATCACTTATAAATAGCTCTTTAATAGATGGCGTTTAACCATTCATCGTGGCTGTCCAACCTCACTCCTGCGGGTCCCACCGATGCTCGGGTTCGGCAAACCTCCCCGCACGGAGCTCACAGCCCAACAGCTCAGAGAGAGGATTTCACCAGCCACGCTTATTTCTATAACTCTTAAATGGAGATGTGGATGGAGAGGAAAGCTGTGACCCTGTACTGCAAAGATTTGTTTTTCTAGTGTTGCAGGAAAAACTGCTATTCCCTCTGCAAGCAGCCAGACCTTACGACGATGGGTCAAATTCAACACGTGCACTGGATGTGCGTTCCCTATTTTACAGGCTCCTTTTTGTGACAGCTATGCTCCTCAGAAATGATCTGCCACCAGGCAGCAGGTGAGAAGACAGTTCAGCACTTTCCCAGCAGTAAAGCCCAATCTTCTGCTCCCCTTTGCTGGAGAAAACAGGGTGGGCAGCGCATCAGCCAGCCTCTGGCACTACCAGCAAAGGTCCCTTCCTGGAAAGAATGGTTTGTGCAGGTAAAGGATGGAGAGAAAAGACGAAGAGGCAAGATGAAGAGGCGGGGAGAAATGGAAGAAAACGCGTGGGAAAAGAAGATGAAGATAAAATCAAATGCCTCTGGGATGTAAAGATAAAATGTGCCAGAAACACACACATTATGGCAACTTCACAAGTTGCCACCAGGCACCTGAGCCACACCAGCTTTCCACCTCCTCGTTCTCAGGCAGAGTATTACACTAAGGGTCCAAAAAGCACGTAAGAAACTCAAGTGCAAAGAAACCTTTGGAAGTCAGAACAGTAAGGGGTTGAGAAAGATCTCAGTATCCTTGGTCTGACTGTCCTCCCTTGATTAGCTACCCTGCCACCAGGGATGTGGGTGCCACCACCAAACCGCACGTTGCCAGGGTGGTGGACAAGCAGCCCGAAGAGGTTAAGGCAGAAAGTTGCTGGAAAGTTTCTGCACAGCTGGAAGCAATGGCTCAACACACACGGCTGAGGTTAAACAACCCGCTTTCACTCCTAAGGATGCAAAGATGATGTCAAGTCCTTGGAACACACTATTCTGCTTTGACAGCCAGATACGCTGAGCAGAAATACAGCCCCTCAACACCAACCCAAAGGTTTATTTGATGACTGAACACCCAAGGACTGGAAATAACTGCTTGAGAGCAGTGCGGGAGAGGGCTTTTGTCTATTTACCCGCAGGACAAAGACAACACAGGCACCACCCGTGCGCGCTTCCCTCCCTGCCCTCTATCAGCCAGCTTTCATCTTCAGCCAGAGCAGGACGAAGGCAGCTTGTTCTCTGCTGTCTGATCCTTGGCCCCACTTCTGAGGACGCTAGATGGGCTGATAGATGGGTGCCAGCTCCGACATCACTCCCATGAATGTGAGCACCTGTCCCCTGCCACGCAACTGGCATCGACCGCTGGTTTCATTGGGAACACGAGACAATGACCAGGTCCTGGAGGTGAGGACACACCAACAACCCGAGCAGCCCCACACATCATGATGGTCTGGACTCCCTTCTTCCCCCTTTATCTTTAATGCGGCAAGTTCAGGCCGGGACTGAAGTCCAGGGAGGATTCCAAATTGCAACATGTTGTCTGACTGCACTTTGGTGCTATTTAAAAGCTTTAACCTAGTCCGTTTTGTTGTCTTGGCTATTTAGGACAGTTCAAGGGGATGTAATCAGTGATCCAAGCCAAAAAAGACAAATTGTGGAAGTTCAGATGGCATGCAGTACACAGGCCTCTTATCTCATCGTCTGATACTTAAAGGTTTGTTCCTTGCCCGACTAAAGCTTAAAAAGCGTATGGAAGAAGCCATCTCTGTTTCCTGTCTCAGGATTCCCTATTGCATTAGAAGGATACGTCCTGGAAAAAACTCAAAAGTGAGATAATTTATGAAGTTCATGACAGTTCACATATTCCAAAACGCCGCTTTCAGAGAAACCCATAGACAAGACAGCACATCTGGCTCCTAGAAAGACTTTGGATGGCTTGTGCACAGCTGTCTGCTCCATGAATTCTGTGCAATTTGCCCAAGCAGAGAAGTGTGCAAAATCCTGGCATGACCTGGATATTGATCCCAGCTGCGATCAACAGCAAAACACCCAAATTCCTGCTAATATTAAAAGAAGATGGAATGCTAAGATCTACTGCTAACCAGACCTGCTGAGAATAAATGCTCTGGTAGACAGAAGCTGGAAAGATCATTATCGACACGTCTTAAGTATACCCTGTAGCAAAACAAGCTAAATTGAAAATATCAGAAGTACTTTTCCTGGAGCTTATCAAAAGACAGCAAAATGATATGGCATTCCCCTTCGTGCCAGCTGGTGAACTGGGCTCCAAAGGAGTAGGTGGACTCAATCATACAGGTTTTATTCCTGAAAAATTCTTCTGGGAGGTTTGAGATATACAAGCACCATGAGATCTGGCCCAGATTCACTAAGAGAACATTTTACATGCAGTTTCCTTTAGGTTTTATGTCCTGACCACCCCTCCCTTCTTCCCCACCCTCTCTCCGGGATGCCAAGTGCAGGCTTAAGTTGCATTAAATGAGTCGTTTTCTGTGTTGAAGAATGTATTAAATGATGTGACAGTACAGAATTCAGACTCGAAACATGTACTCTTTCCTTTTTTCATTTGACAAGCCACATGCTACAGTCGTTGTGACATAATAGTTCTTTTTTCCCTCCCACCATTAACAGAAATCATCACGTAATGTATTTAAAGGGAGAGAAAAAGTGAGTTCAATGTTCAGCCATGCATTCTCCCTTGTTGACAGAATGATCTGGAATAGCCATTTCCTATATTTGAGGGAGAAACTTTTATTCTGAGATCCAAGAAGGCTCCGACACCCCCTCCTTGTTGGCAGGAACACGTTCTCTCCAAGAGCTACTAGAGGGTTCAAGACACAGCCTCCATGTTAGTGCTGTCGTTCACCCTAAAACCCTTTACAAGCAGCATCTAAGAGAGAGCTGCAGAGCTCACCAGGAGTGCCTTTTGCTCTCACCTAAGCAGAAAGAGAAACGTGAGCAATGACATTGACAGGGCAAAGCCCAGGCAGAAGCACACGAGGTCTCCACAGAGTCTCTAGTGAAGAGTCAAGAAATACTGCCTTGGTCCCAAGGTGCTCTAGAGACTCAAGTAGCAGCAACCACTTGGCTGCGATGGTCTTGGTTTGAAAATACAGCAATCGAGCGATTGGGTCACCATGGCAGGATGATGACCTCCTGTGGAAACACGTAAGGGGACAGTCATGCAGGGGTGTCATCATCCATCCCCACCCAAAGATGACCTAAGGGAGCAAAAACTGAAAAGCAATAAGACACTACGCCTCACCACGGGCTCACAACACGTTTGCTCTCTTCCACAGTCCACCACCGGCTGTGAGCTAATGTTGGGTTAAGCGATGTGGCTGGCGTTGGCAAACTCAAGCCAAACAGCTGTTGAAGAGCTGTGGGCATTTTGTGGATGCCACACAAGAGTTTTTTCCCCCTCCCTCTCCCTGCCACCCTATTTTTTTTTTTTACCAAGGGGACATATTAAGAGTTTAAAAATACACAAAGGAAATCCTGACACCAACATCTGCACGGGAACTGAGAAGAGGCAATAGGAAGAGATGAGGAAACCTTACAACTCTAAGACCTTCAGGCCAAGAGGACTTCTCCAACGCACATAACATCGCAGACAGCTGTGCAGCATTTAGGATAACTGTTTATTACCTGTGGTGCTGTAGCAGGAATCCCCAGCCAGAAGCATATAACGACTACATCTCTTCCACTGACAAACAGGGCTCCTGTTTTTAATTTTCAAGTAGTGCTCTGTAATTTATCACATCTCCCACACCAGGGAGAGACAAGAAGAGGGCAGAGCCAGGAGGTTTGAGCTGTTGAAACGCCCCACTGAACGTTCACAGCCGACTCCTCTTCTGTCTATCTCACAGCCCACCACCCCACATCCAACACAGGCTACAAAGGATTCCTTATCAGGGTGATGTACAAACTGTCAAACTTGGATATACTACAGCCATCCTGCCCAAAAGGAGACACAGAACAGAAACTTCACCAGAATCTGCTGCCCTTCCTCTGCCAGGCCAAAGCAGTGCAGGAAAAGGCTCTTTCAAAAGCATTTACTTGCTTATGGAACATTAATTAAAGTCCCAGAGCAGAAAGCTGCAAGCTCAAAGTTCTGCATATGGAACCTGAGCTACTCTGTCCTCCAAAACTCTTGCTTCAAATATTCTGGGCAAACTTTCCCAGCAAGTCTCTCAGGGATTTTAAAAGATTTTTTTTTTTCTCTTTATCGCTTGAAGACCTATATGACCTCAGGCAAAAGTCTACCATCTAAGAAACATCAGCAAATTCTTCACCTCTTGTCAGTTTTGATGTGGGAATTGGACGAACCGAAGTTCCTGGAGAGAAATTTGCTTTAGGAGTGTGAGGTCTGACATTCTCTCATTCAGATATCAAGCTCCTCATCTGTGGGAGTTAAGTACCACGAGTGTGAGAACAACCAATTTTTCCAGTTCACTGGCCAAACCTGGAAAAACCTGGCATATGAAGTACTGTCTAAATGAAAAGGTTTCATTTGCAAAACCAGTTGATTTTCAGATTTCAAATATAAAAATGCAGTATTTTGTGAGAGCAGTGTTCCACTTAGTATAGAATAGCCCAGTATTCCAGCTCTGATGGGGGCCACAGGACAGTTTTAGGGAAAGCAGGGCAGCCTGTCCACCACCTGTGCCAAACACGTTCCTCTTACTGCCCTGGCACCCATAACCACAAGATTAGGGATGTTAGGGGGAACGTTCATGCCTATTCCCTTTATATCTGTTCATGGACTTGCTGTCCTTGAGGTCCCTGTCCAGAAGGGTATGGAGACAAAATGAAAAAAAGAATTGGGTAAATTCATGGGATATGGTTTAATGGGGATTAGGGATGGTTGGACTCGATGATCTCTAAGGTCTTTTCCAACCTAGAAATCTATGAATCTATGAATCTATGAATGGACTTGCTGTCCTTGAGGTCCCTGTCCAGAAGGGTATGGAGACAAAATGAAAAAAAGAATTGGGTAAATTCATGGAGCATAAACAGGTATTACAGAGAGACAGGTCTTTCCACCTCAGCCAGGCTGCGTATCTATATCCAGCTTTAAGCAGAGTGGCAGGAGTCAGAAAGGCAGAAGCAGAAGTCTTGCAGGTGTCAGGGACTGGCCTGGACCGAGGCACTGGCACGGCAGGAACTGGGATCTCTTACAAAGCTCTGCAGGTTGGGTGGAGCGTCTCTCCAAGCGAAGGCCTGCCAGCATCCTTGGTTTCCCCAGGGTTTGGCTGGAACTCGCCTGGCGGTCCTGCCGAGCTGCCTGCCAAACATCTGTCTGCATCACACACAGATGACATCATTTGGAACGGTCTGTTTTCTCGACTCAGGAGAGCTTCGGGGGGGGAAGAGCTGGTCTGGAGATCGAGATGCCTCAGCAGAACTTTGTGATAAGGTAAAACCCTACATGCTTGGACGCTGTTTTCTCTCTAGATATTTTAGTTACTTTTCTATCCCTATCCTGAATGGCAGAAATCCATCAGTATTAATCTTCTGGATCTTTTCTCTCTACTGTTTTTCATAATTAAGTACCACACAGTGCTGTTTGAGAGACCAAGACGGGCCGTCCTTGTGCTCTGGATGAACACATTGGCAATAAACTTTTCTATCAGTCTACTAGCTGACCACGTGTTGTTCTATGAGCAGGGACCTGGGCCACGACCACGGTGCTTTGAAGCATCCTGCAGTCATGGTTTGGTCCATCAGTCCCACACACAGAGCAGAACAATCCTTAGCAAATGTTGATTTTTAAAAGACAGCTATTGAACAGGTCTCTCTGCTAAAGTCCTGCTGTATTCCCACTCTTCCCACAGCTTCTTACAACTGACTGAATGCCTTATTGCCCAAACAAGCTAGCTGGTTTGCTTGGCAGAGAGATTTGAGCTTAGACCTGGAAATCTTATAGCTGTTAGCACCATGTTACAGCTCAAATAATCAGATCTGAGTCTCAACAGGCCAATTACATCCAGCACGGCGCGGTGCTGACGGAGCTTCTGTTCCTGATTTGAGAGCTGGTTTGTTTTCAACTTCTTGGCTGCACAGTGCAGATGTACTCGTATCTATCTTCAAACCCTCAGCCTTACAGCAGCAAGAAGCAGCAAAGGCTCCTACTACTTCCATTGAGCAGAGCGAGAAACTTGTTAGTAAGAGTAGTATATCATACGGATGTGAGCGTGCCTGTTCTGGCTGGGATGGAAGAGTGAAGGAACTACTTTCTACTCTCATTCCTCTCTGCAGTAGGTATTTATTGCAGAGCAAGGCACAGAGACACAACAGCATTTGGAAGGATGCACTCTCCCTTCAGTCAAAGTCATGCAGAGCAACTAACATGTGGTTCATGCATTTGAGGTCATAGAAAGGAAGAGGATTTTAATGCAGAACCATTTTTATGGGCTACTCTAAAGCCACACCTGCTGAAACATCCTCAGGCACTGAGAGCACGCATCAGGATTTTGAAATTTTTTTTAAAAAAGACAAGTTAATTGCCAAAATGAAAGTTACTAAATTGTACAATTAGTTAAAAAGGGTAAGAAACATGATCCAGGGTAGAAGAGAGAGATTTTTAAAGCTTTAGCTGGATATGCACAACTTGGCTGAAATAACTAAAAGACCAAGACCATCTTTAAGCCATTATAGGGATAGCACTAACATAAGTGATACACTGATATCCTCACTGCAGGATCACCGAGTGGAACTTACAGTGTGTTGAGGTTCTTCAGTCTCCTGAAGGCTCCAGGTTGTATCTCCTTGATATGGTTGAAGCGTAAATCTCTGAAAGCAGAAAATACAATCAGTGCACTCGTGATATAAACAAGCCATCAGCAATCAGGATGGGAAGGAAAGGAGGAGGGCTGCTGGGAGAGTATCATACCAGGCCTACATGAACTGGAGAAATGAAGACAAAGACCAGGGAAAGGAACGGAGAAGGAGTAGGGATGATGGCTGAGGTCTACTATTGTCTGCAAAGTCAGCCAATAGCCAGGACAAGCCAACATTCACAAAATTCTTTTTAATTTCATAGAAAATTAGAGACTAAAAGGACTCAAGTCATCATCTCCATGAGCACTGGGCAAGGTCTCCTGCTCAACACCTCAAGTTCACATGCAATTACACTTGTATCTCATACTGATTTGTAGAGGAATGCATATCACTATGTGGACCCATTTTTTAGCTCCCTAACAATATTATCTTTGCCCTAAACTGGTTAAATCTGATCAAATAACCTAATATAATAAGCATTTCACATTCTGCTCTGCAATGCTCCGAGACTCAGAACAGCTTATCACCGCCTGCATTTCAAATTTGTGCCAACTTCAATTAGAATTAGTGGAGTCCAGGGGATTCTGGCAAATTTCAAGGGCTGTCCATGTAACTACATCGACTTGGAGCCCTAAAACATGGGGTTTTGATTGTTAATGAGATAATAAAATAAGAGCTAAGTGGTTTAACCTGGTTAACCAAGTAGAAACACTTCTATAGGGAATGTGCATTGATTTGGCACCTTCCACGGTCCAGTGTATAACAAACAAATGGGTTTTGCTGCCAGTTTCTATCCAAAGCACAACAACAAAATTGCCTTTTTTTCCTCTTACGCTGCCTGATCTATCACAGTTAGAGAATATGCAGCTATTTCTCAGTTTAAGGCAGCCTTTTAAGGTCATTTGCTTTCAGAGGAAAAAAAACGATTGCCCATCATTCTGGTGGTAAGTTAAGAGCGTTTGGAGGCAGAGTTTAAAACAAGAATTCTACAAATAGCTATGAGTTCAACACTTACTTTCAGAACAGGCATCCACAAGATTCATGTTTATATAAAATCAAGATTAGAAAGAGGTGAATTCATTGCAGGTGGCTGCAAACTCAAACTGACTGAGCATTCAAGGGGGCTGAAACATCTTCGAGCAAGTACTCGATAAGAGGATGCACACACAGTAAGTAAAGCTGATTTTATTTTAAGAGGTAACGTTTCTTTAGCTTAACAGTTTGCAAAGTTAGTTATTTCTTGCTAAAAACGTCTCACTAAATGTTCTTACTTTTTAGGCAGAAAATGCACAGCATTTTTACTTCAGTTACACTGAAATGTTCAGTCTCTGCCTTGTTGCCCCTTTGTTATCATCGAACAGAACAGAACACACGCCCGTGGAAGTCGCCTTTTCTCCTGGGGTTTTTCCTTTCTGTAACTTTTCAACTTTGAACAAAGGGATGAGAAGACCAACTTAGGGAGGAGTATTGCACAGAGAAGAGTTAGAGGGCAGGAAGGAATACAGCTCCAATATTTCAAAAAAAAAAAAAGCATTGGAATTGTAATTTACAAGCACCAGTCTTCCGCTGCAAACCACAGTCCCGAAGGATCACCCTATGGAATTGCAGTTTTTAACAGCAGCTTTACCTTTGACATTTTCTGGTAGCTTTGGCTTTACTTGCATTGCTTCAAACGCACGTTTCTTGCTCTTCTTGTTGGAAGGTGTTACACATCCCTCTTCCCTGATGATGTGAGTTGGAGGATATCTGTATGGAGTTTTTCAAGGCGAGGGCTGACACCATAAAGCCAAACACAATTAAACATTGGCAAAGGTGATAGCACAACGTGCTGACTATTCTCCACAGCCTCATTAAAAGGAAACGAGGAAAGACTAAGTCATGAAAAAAGGTGAAGAAATGCAAACTTGATTTATACACTCTAAAGCAGAGACACCAACTCTGCCTGCCCTGGGGGGCTGTAAAGGGCTGTGTGATTAGTCTGGGCAGCTGGCTACAGGTAATAGGGAACATAACAAATAAACGGAAGAAATACACAGGGGTTGAGGCTGAAGCTGGTGATGCTCATGGAAGGCAGTGGGAAGCAGGCAGCAAGGTGTAAAACACCACTTTGGGTCACAGACTGCAGGTAGGGAGGGGGGGAAATAAACCAGACTATTTTAGTGAACAAAGAGAAGTGCAATCCTTCACACCCCAGCGTTCACACATCAGTGCAAGGCTCCCACAGCTGAAAGAAAAAGCAAAACCCAGAACCACAGGTGACTGAAAACACCCCTGAAAACCCAGACAAATAAAACACGAGCTCCTCCGCTCCCAGGGTTGTTTTCGCTATCGGTCACGTGCCGAAAACAGCTCCTTGGAAATGGTGCTGTGGAATTTTGCACCTGGTCTCCAGCTCCCCAAGCAAGTCTGACCTCCCAGGCAGGGCTGGCTTCACCTGCGAGAGCACTAAAGCCAACCCGGGCTGCAGAGCCCAGCAGGAGTGACCCTGAGGAACATCCCGATCGTTCCCACTGCTGAGCGAGCAACGGGGATCTGGCTTCATGCAGGAACTCTTCCCCTACACCATTCCCAAGGAGCACATAATAAAACTTAGCTTATTATTTTCATGAAATATCTTGATTTTTCTTCTCTTTTCTGCTCCAGATAAGACCTTCAAATGATTCCCTGGACTCCAGCTGTCTCGTACTCCTTTGGAAAGCTCACTCTCCAGTTTGCTCTCCATAACACGAAGGCAACAGCTTTCCCCACAGACAAAAAAAGGGATCTGAAACAGTGCATGTCTACTCTGAGCACTTCATGTCAAGAAACGATGTGAATTAGCTGGAGAGAATCCAGAGGAAAGCAATGGGAACGATGTGAAATCTAGAAAACACAAAATGGGAAGAACTGCAATGGCTTATTTAGCCACAGAGACAAGAACTATGTCAGAACACTGCTACAACCAGAAAAGGGCAAATAGTCACAGACAAAACCTGCAGATTTTGGTTTGTTGTTTTTTTTTTTTTAATTTCTCCTAAACAGCAATGCTAATAAAGCCCTCAGGTGGCCAGCAGGTGAGGCAGACGTTAGCCACAACATGGTTTAGGTAATGTGGATGCTGGATGCAGAAGGATGGACTAGACTATTTTGCTCCCTGTATCCAAGAAAGCAGTAAAAAGACACTAGTGTGGATATTAAAAAAAAAAAAAAATTGACGTTGGCTTATCCATAGTGGTTTTTTCCTCCAGACTTTGCCTTAACCTGAAGCTTAGCTGGTCATGAATGCGTGTAGGGCTGCACTGGGAAATTCCTGGCTTGTATGAATTTGATTGAGAACATTCCCTACAGAGTTTGTCCCCTCTTACACAGAAATCCTTGTTTCTCTCTATTCCCAGGGCAATCGCTCTGGAAACTTTACGTTTCTTTTCACGAACAAGTGTGCTTTTTACGGGGACCCACCACACAGCTGCTCCCATCCCAGCCCATTCCAGCTGCTGCGTGCACCAGCAGCTGGGCTCCCTCACCCCCGCCTGCTTCTTCCCTCTTTGGAATTTCCAAAATAGGGGGAAAAAAAGAAAATAAGGGTCCCTGTGATTTAACTCTCCCCTGTGTTTCCAAGGCTGGCAGTCTGGGATCACAAGATACCTTTCCACAAGGAACAAAGGGGACCACTGCTAAAGGATCCCAGATCCTTTCCGACCTTCAGGTACCCAGTGCCTGGAGCCCTGGGACACAGCTGTTCCACCTCACGCAATACGGATCCCTCTGGACAACACCAGCTTGATTAGCTCAGCAGAAAATCTCACCAAATCCTAGTGCCAAAGCACCACAGCTCTGGCAGGAAACTGGGCTGGATACGTGGATAATCTAGGATCTGCTATTGGAATAACTCCCCTTTTCTGACTCTGGGAACTCTTAACCCCATTGCAGAGGCTTACCAAAAATGCCAGAATTTGCAAATGGATGGGGATACAGGTCCTTAGAGAATGACACTTGAGTCTTTCTGATCCCCTCAGCTGCTATCAGAACAATTATTCCTGAAAGCATTGTGTTAAATAATTAACAGTGATTAGCATATAAAGCAATCAACGGCTTTTACAAGAAACTTCCACTTCTGTTTCACCTATTTAGGCTTTTACAGAGTCATGTATTACTATGTTAACTAAGCAGATAATTAGCTACGAGGGATATTTTACTGCAGTTCCATGGAAATTACTGGGTTTGTTTCACTGAAGCATCTTTTGTGTTCCAAACTGTGCACAGCAACGGGTGCTGGCAGTTCTGGGCCATTTCACCCAGAACTGGTGGAGTAAGTGGCAGCCACTCAGTCGTTATAAACAAAGACAGAGAGTAAAGGTGGTTTTATAAACAGAGACAAGACATTGAGGTTCTTTCCAGTGTTTCCTGGGAAAGGGCGGGTGTGAGAGACATCCTAAGCACAATTTTTAAGTCAAGTTTCCCATATATAAGAAGAGCCAGAACATTTATAAGATGACAGTTTCTCTCACTTATCAGCAGAACATCAGAGTCAGCTCTGCAGGTTCCCCCGTCCTGCCAAACAGCTCCAGTCCTGGCAGGAAGGGAAAACAGCCTTGCTGAGATAGAAATGAAGTCTTCCAGACCCACTGTCATCGGCTCCACAACTCAGGAATGTCCCTCTCACACACGAGTCCCCAAATGGCTTTAATAAACGACAGCCTTCATCTCCAAATCCCTACATGGACAGCTGAGCATGGCCATCTCTGCTAGACAGATGAGGAGACCGCAGGGAGGCTCAGGGCTGGGTTTTTTTCCAAATCCTGGCTATTTTGGGGTGCACCAGCTTAAGACAGCAAGATTTGACTGTTGCAAGAGTGAAGAGGAAGGAAAATACGTTCAGCATGGAAACACTATAGAGATTCTATGATCATGGCTGAAATACTGAGGAGCGAGCAGATGCAGAGAGCCTCATGCTGTAGAACAGGCTGTTGTTCTCTGTCACACCGCTTACATTTTGCAGTTTTAGGGATGGGCACA